GGGTTTAGGGTTTAGGGGTATTTTAGCGGTGTAGTAGAGGGGCTTCGGAGTACTTACGTGCTACTTTAGAATGCTATCATAAGGAACCCTGAGGAGGCAAACCCTAAACCCTAAACTATAAACCCAAAACCCTAAACCCTAAACCCTAAACTTTAAAACCTAAACCCTTAACTCTAAACTTCAAACTTTAAACCCGAAACCTTAAACCGCACTTTTGGGACTGGCGTTTGAAGCCCTGGCACTGCGACTGGCCAAGGGCGCCCTCCCCACCTCGGGCTTCAGCTTCACATCGTCCAACCTTGCTCTCTGCGCTTCAGGTTGAAGGGCCAGGGCTATTTAGAGTCTAGGGATTTAGGGATTTAGGGTTTAGGGTTTAGGGTTTAGAGTTTAGGGATTTAGGGTTCAGGGTTGAGAGTTTAGGGTTTAGGGTTTAGTTTTCTTCAGGGTTGAATGAAGAGTTCATCGGTGCGTTAATCGGATTGATAGTCTAAGCGTTAACAAGGGCTCCGAGCCGTTGAGGTTTGCTTGGGATTTAACACTGACTCAATGCGGAAACCAAACCCCAAAACACCATTTTTGCTCACTTAGCTGGATGTCAATCCCGGCTAACTTTCGCACTTCCTAAATCCCTAAACCCTAAATCCCCATCCTACATCCCCTGCCATTGAACCAACCCTAAACCACTAGGTTCAGGGAGCAGCAGCGAGGATGAAGGCTCAGGGTTTAGGGTTTAGGATTTAGGGTTTAGGGTTCAGGGTTTAGTGTCGAAACTTTAGGGTTTAGGGTTTAGGGTCGAGAGTTTAGGGTTTAGGGCTAAGGGGTGTAGTACCGCTTGGGTTCCGGGCGCAACCAGCTCGATGAGGTGTTCGGACAACTCGCTGTAGCCTGCTCATGACTTGTGAGGCTCAGAGACGTTGTAGCGGCATGTCTGTGGCTTCTATTGAATATCTGTCTCGGCATGTCATCGGTTTAGGGTTTAGGGTTCCTAAACCCTAAACCCTAAAACGGGCTTCAGGTTTCGCGTTGAAGCCTCAGGTTTATGGGTCCATGGGAGTTACCCTAAACCCTAAAGGGTTTAGGGGTTTAGGGTTTATGGCTTAGGGGTTTACGGTTTAGGCTTTAGGCTTTGAGGGTTTTAGGGTTTAGGGTTTAGGGCCTAGGCCCGATACCCTAAGCCGAAAATCTCATGGAGCTCTTCACAGAGGCCCTTGACGCAAGAAAACCAAAATGCAAGCCCTGGGAACCTGTGCCTGGAGGCACAAAAGACAAAATCTCTAAGATATCACCGCAACAGGGCACGCAGGAAGGCTACTATAGGTGTCTTAATAAAACGAATCGAGTTTTGTGGTATGTTATCGTGGGATTAAAGCTAAGGAAATGTCAGGACTTGTGTTGGTAAGCTTCCAAACAGTGCTTGGCAGGTTCGACGAACAGCCCAAGAAGGTAAACGAAGACTCTGGTCTGGGCACTTCGTCCAAGTGTAAGTTTACGGTTTAGGGCTTAGGGTTGTAGAGCCCTGAGGACCTTACAACCGCTCTAAACCACCGTGGTAAAACAACACCAACCCGGGAGAAGGAAATCTCGAATCGCTGATGAATTGAACGACTAAAAGCGATGCTCGAGCCCTCAAGCACTGCAGCCTTGAAGGCTGATTGGCATTTGTAGCTTGACGTTCATGACCTGGGCGGCTGCCCGGGATGCAGGTGCAGGGCGTTCTGTGGGTGTAGTAGGGCTCGCAAGCAAGGACGAACGGCCGGAACTTCGAACAAGAAGCCCTAAACCGTGATCCCTCGAACCCCTAAACCCAAAACCCCTAAACCCTAAATCCTAAACCTCTAAACCCAAAGCCCTACAACCCTAAACCGCCTAAACCCTAAACTCTGAACCCCTAAACCCTAAACCCGCAAAGCCTAAACCGTAATCCCTGGAACCCCTTAACCCTAAACCCTGAACCCTAAACCCCTAAACCCTAAACCCCCAAACCCCTAAACCCCTAAACCCCTAAACCCGTAATCCCTTGAACCCCTAAACCCGTAATCCCTTGAACCCCTAAACCCGAAACTCTGAACCCTAAACCCCTAAACCCCTAAACCCGTAATCCCTTGAACCCCTAAACCCTAAACTCTGAACCCTAAACCCCTAAACCCTAAACCCCTAAAGCCTAAACCGTAATCCCTTGAACCCCTAGACCCTAAACTCTGAACCCTAGACCCCTAAACCCCTAAACCCTAAACCCCTAAACCCCTGAACCCGTAATCCCTTGAACCCTAAACCGTAATCCATTGAACCCCTAAGCCTTCAGCAGCCTTAATGTTTAGCCCTCTGAACACCTTGAACCCTACAACCCTAAGCCTTAAAGCCTAAACCCTACAGCCTAATGTAGGGGCCGCAATAATTATACCCAAGCCCTATTCTAATTCTTAAGGCCCCTATATTACAACTCTAGAGCTTTAAGCTTCAAAAACCCTACGCTACACCTCGGCAATCCGAAACTGCTCGG